TTTCACTTTTGCTTTTATTATTTATTTTTTATTATTTCATATATTTTCTTCAATATTTCCTTCTAATTAACTATTTAATGATATATTTTTTCTTCAATATTTAAAAAAGGTCTAATTAAATTGGTGCTATTGGTGCATCAGGTTTAGGTTCTGCTTTAACAAATTGCATTAATCTCTCAAATTTGACACTTGATCTTAGGTAAAAACAGTTTTTTTTTTTTGGATTGTGATATTTTAAATTATAAAAACTAATTAATAACAATAATGCTCTTTTTTCTTTTTCTTTTTATTGTGCTTGCTTTTTTTTTGTTCTTTCTTTATTAATTTAGCTCATCATTTTATTTTCAACTTTAGCTTTTATTATTTATTTCTTATTATTTCATATTTTTTCTTCATTTTTTCCTTCTAATTAACTATTTAAAGATATATTTTTTCTTCAATATTTAAAAAAGGTCTAATTAAATTGGTGCAATTGGTGCATCAGGCTTAGGTTTTGCTTTAGCAAATTGCATTAATCTCTCAAATTTAACACTTGACCTTGGGTAAAAACAATTTATTTGTTTTGGATTGTGATATTTTAAATTATAAAAACTAATTAAAAACAATAAAGCTCTTTTTTCTTTTTCTTTTTACTGTGCTTGCTTTTTTTTTTGTTCTTTCTTTATTAATTTAGCTCATCATTTTATTTTCAACTTTTGCTTTTATTATTTATTTCTTATTATTTCATATTTTTTCTTCATTTTTTCCTTCGAATTAACTATTTAATGAAATATTTTTTCTTCAATATTCAAAAAGTAACAATTAAATTGGTGATAAAGGTGCATCAGACTTAGGTTCTGCTTTAACAAATTGCATTAATCTCTCAAATTTCACTCTTTACCTTTCGTAAAAACAGTTTATTTGTTTTGGATTGTGATATTTTAAACTATAAAAATGAATATAAAAAAAAAAGCTCTTTGAATTTATTTGATAGCTTTTATTTATTTTATTTTTTTATCTTTTTAATTCAACTAAAATTATTTTATTTATTAATTTAAAGAATAATTTTAAATTTAAAAGTTTATTCTATTTTGATATTTATTTTAAAATTTACACAAATTTATTTTAAAATTTTTAGCTCAATGAATGAATCATAATAATTCAAAGTAATAAGCGAGTGTCTTAAATCAAAAAGATTAGTTGTCTTTAATATTGATTTCTATTGATAAACAACTGGTGAAAAAAGGATGAATAAATATAAAATGTTTGAATAATATTATATATTTTATTATATAATATTTTGAAAAAGTGTTTTTAACCTAAAATATAAATAGATAGATAGATTTTATTATTGATTTTATATTTATAAATATCATTCATATTTTTGTTGGTAAATAAATTATTTATAAAAAATAAAAAAATTAAATTTACTTAAATAAATTAAATCCTCATAAGCATACACTCTGGTTTCTCCAAAAATGATCAAATAATTTGAAACTTTTAGTGTTATATTACATCTTATTAATATCAATTTCTCTTGTTCGAAAATCGTTTTTTCCGATTTTCGAGGTCGAGAAAGTAAGGTATTTAACATTTCTTAAATTTGCCAACATAATAATTTGAATACTTTATTATTTATTTATAAATATCTTATTTGTTGTTACACATTACATTATATTATGTTGAAAAATATTTTTTTCTTTTAAAAGGTTTTGGGTAGTCCGAAAAATTTTAATAATTATTATTAAAATATAGAAAAATTATTTTTAAAAATTAAGTTGAAAAATTAATTAATATATGAAATATATAAAATGCTGATAATAATTTATTTAGTTATTGGTTTTATTGAAATAAAATTTAAGATTATTTTAAAAAAATTTAACTTTCTTTGATTAATCATTATTTTTCAAAGATATCATCAATTAATTATCATCTGATATATTTTATTCACTTTCCATAATTTAATAATTATTTAAAATATTTTCTGATTAATTCATAATTTATTATTAACTATATATACAAAATGAATGTTAGTTCATTTTATAAATTATTAATTTGAATTAATTTAAATAAGTTAACCATTTTGTTAAAATGATGTATTTATTTATAAAGCTCAAATTGATTTTATAATTCTAAAATTCTAATTACTATTTTTGCTGATTCTAATATTTATTGACATAATTTATAATGGTTATTAAAATAAATATTTAATATAGGAATAAACCATATTTTAGATAAAGTTTTTTTTTTTTCTATTTCACAGAAGTAAATTGGATGAATTCTTTTAGCATGTTATCTCAATATCTTAATCTATTCTTAGAAGCTAGAAAGCTGACATTAAATCTCTGATCTTAGAAGTGAATAAAAATATTTAAATGGATTATTAATTAATAAATGATGTTATTTATTAATATATTAAAGCATATACTTTTAATCAAAATATTTTTTGTTATTAAACTTTTTCAAAGAAATTCTTAAATTAATTCAAGTATTCAATTAAATTTTGTCTTCATCACAATTTTTAAAAAATATCACTTTTTAATATTTATGATTTGAAATTAATATATTATTTACTGTATATTTAATCTTTTAATAAAATTTTATTTACTCTTTGCCAATAAAATAATTTTAGTAAGACAGACCCCACTTTTCTGTAAATATAATAATAGTATTATTATTATAAAAATAACACATTAAAGAAAATTTAAAGCTTAATTCTTCCCATATTTTAAGATATAAACGTTTTTCTACTTCTAAAATTACCTCTTCGTTATTTGAATGTGTTTATTTTGATGAGAATACAAATCAATGGTCTAATAATGGAATTAATTTAATAAAAGTAGTAAATAATAACACTATTGTGTGCTAAACTTATCATCTAAGTCGATTTGCTGTTAGGAAAGCTGATCAGCAATATAAATATATCTTACTATCTTGATGATACTCTGCAATATTAAATAGCTATCTTACAGTTTTAAGAAAATATCTTTCGATTAGTCAGTCATTAATGAGGGAAATCATAATAAAAATAAAGTTGAATGCAAAAATAAACTAAGTCAGTAAAAGTTAAGTGTAAGGAAAATTATTAAATTACATAATATTTTGATGAATTATATGCGAAACATAAATTTTTTTAAGAAACAATTAAATACAAGTTGTAAGTAAACAACATTTTTTCCTATATTTTTCATTTTTTATCAAAAATATTTGCTGGAGTTAGTTAGGATTTATGAATAATTATTTATATTTATTAGAATAATTTGATTATACATACTTATTTGAAAGGAAATTATTTATATTTCAATAATAATAAATAGTATTATTATTAAAATAGCATACTAATTATTGAAAGTGTAAAGCTGAGTTGAGGAATATATTATATGAACTATGAGAACAAATAAAACTCGAAGTAAAATCAATAAATTAGCTTAAGATGAAATAAAATAGAAGGATAATTAATTAATTTAAAAATGCATTAATGTATTGATTAAATCTAAGAGCGAAATATTTTTGTATTCAAATATAAGAAGATTTAAAGGAAATGTATAAACATAATTAATTTATTAATTTATTTATTATCAAAATGAAACAAAAAGATTTAAGAAAAATGCGACATGTCTTAGAAGTGTAAAAGAGCTACATACTCCTTTGTCTAGAGAATTTCAAACCTGAATTTGAATTTAAGCCTTTTTTAGTATAGCCATATATTCAATAGGCTGCTATATTTTGTCATTTTAAAGTTTTTGATAACCAATAGAAATTAGAAAAAGTACTTATTGTGTTCGAGTCAACGAATAGTAAAGACTTTATATTCTTTTAAAGAATAATGAGTAAAATAATTATACTATTTGGACCCAAAGAAGCACTTTTATATTTTTGAAGTGGAAAACTATCAAATGACTTTATCTTAATTCATAGAATAAAATCAACTGAATGAGGAAATTTTTTACCCTCTTATTGAATAAATATCGAGATATTTTAATGATAGTTGTGGGTTAAAAATTAAAGATAGCTATTTGAGTATCAACGAATATTATAAAAAGTAAATTATTTATGAAAAAAACAAAAATAGTTATGTCAAATTACTTTACAAAACTCCATTTTATGTTAATATAATTAATTAAAATCAAATAGAGGTTAAAATAAATTTAATAGAATACGACACATTCAATTCTAACTATCTCGAATTTTATATTAAAGAGATTTAAAATTAGAATCCAAATGTTTACAATTAAGGCTATTGTAGATAATCTTAAAATAAAATATAAATTGAGGAGAATAATAATCAGTTAACTGATTTTAGAAACATTAAAACTGTAAATAAAATTTTAAAATAGTTAATATAAAAAGTCAATGATAAAGTATAAAAGAAAGATTTATCTGATTAAGTAAAGTAAACCTTTTACAAAATACTTAATTGCCATCCTTTGGAAATTTTTGAAATTCTTTAATAGCATCCCCTTTATCAAGAGTTTTAATTTTAGTTTTATGACTAAAATTCTTTTCAGTTAAAAGTGTGGAAAAAAGATGAAAAAATCATTAAATTAAAAGCACACTAATTTAAAAATTTGAGTGATATGTAATAGATGCTTTCAAGATATAAGTGCCTCATGGAATTAAAATAAAGTTAATGTATATTCCTCAATTCTGAAATAGTAACCACTTAAACATTTTACTACGTTTTAATAGAGAAAAATGATTAAACATTAAATGATTGCTTTATAATTAGGATGTAAATTTAAGATTTAAAGATCTAATTATGTTTATAGGGGATGATAATAAATTATAAGCTTTAAATAAAATATTCTAATTATTTTATTTTTTGTTGTAGAATAATATAACAAACATATCTCCTTCAAGCATATTCTTCTTTGGAGAAAAATTACCAACTTCTTAAAATCTTTCATCATCATCTACTTTCATTCCTGAACATTTAAGATCAAATAAATTAACAAATTAAACTAAATTTGATTTTGTAATTGATGATTTAGATGTAAAAGACTTCTCAAAGGAATAATGCTAAATATTAAGCTTATTTTTAGATGCTAATGACAGGAATTAAATCAAAGGTTTTAAGTACTCTGCATCTTATTTTAAAAATCTTTTCTAATAGCTCTTCTCAAAATTATCAGAGAAATCTTTATAAGAGGCGTCAAAATTTTATGATGAAATTTAATTTATGATTGATGATTTCGAGCTTCTTAAGAGATAAAATTTTCTTGCTAAAATATATAAAAAAGACCCAAAAAAATATTAATAAATAATGATTAGTATAAAAAAATTTTATTATTTTAAAAGAGAAGTAAGTACTTTTAGATAAGAACTTTAAAGTTATTTTTCAATCAACAAGGAAACATTTTTAAAGATCCCAAATAATCAACTCCTAACTTAACACAAAAAAATATTGAGTATTAAAGAGAAAAAGAGATATCAAGATTGTATTCCTTTTACTCTAGTTATAAGAGTGAGGTCATAAAAAAATAATCAAAAATTCTACTTTAATTTTTATAAAATGATTCTGCAGATTTTGAATTTAATGAGGAAGATGTTTGCGTTATGTTTAACTAACTTAGTGAGTCTATTTAAATATATCAATAAAAATGTTACTTTGATATTATAAATCCAAAAGAAATATTGGAAAAAGAAGAACTTATATCTTATAACAATAAATTAAAAATTTTGATTATTAATCTACTTAATAAAAGAAAATAATTCATAATTTTAATAACTGAGGAAAATATGCATTACATAGTTTGCTAAAATCCATATGTTATTTTTTAATTTTCTGAATTATTAAAAGTAGAAGATTTTTTTTAATTATAAAGAAAAATTTGTATATTTTTAAATATATTTTGATCTTAGGACATCTATAGATACAAATAACTAAGACATCTTCCACTTGAAGAGATCTAAATTAAACAATTCTTGCACTTGAAAAAGTTAGTTCTAGTTTTATGTAATGATTACATCTAATTAAGTTTAAAAGGATGCACATAAATACTTTAGCTTAATTTAGAATTAAAATATTAACCTTATGTAGAAAAAATGATTGCTTTATTTAAAAATCTTGCAAATTAAAAAAAAGCTACAAACATTAAAAAAATTATTTTTAAATCTTAAAAAGTGCCAGAAATATTTTATTTTAGATATAAATCTAATTTAAAAACATCTAATTTAAAATATTTCTACAAAATTCAAAGGCTTGTATAAATATCTTTTAAGACTATTGATATTATTGAATATTGATAGAAGATTAATAAATTTAAGTAAATATAAATTAATAATTAATTTAACATTTTAACACTTATTCGTTGTAATTTTTTTAAATATATTTGTAAAGCATAAATTTCAATTAATATTAACTTACTGAAAATATTATAACCCTTTTTGCTAAATGAGCATTAGCCATTTTATTTAATTGTTAATAAACTAACACTTTATTTATTTTTATTTCTTTTTAATTAACATAATTTTATAGCAATTTGCTATTTTAAAAATATTTTACCACATATAATGAATTAATGAATGTATGTATGTATGTATGTATGTATGTATTATTAACCGATTCAGTTAGGGCTGTATTGCATATAAAAATTTTTCAAATAATTTTTTTTATAAATATTCAGAAAATATGGTGAAAATTTATGCTGGTGAGAATTTATGAGGATTTACAGTATTTAAATCAGATTTTTTAATAAATAAATAAAAAAAATATTTCATAATAAGTGGCATGCAAACCATGAAATTTTTGTAAGACATCTTGTAAAACTTAGAGATATTATAAATATTCTTAAAATTGCAGAACTAAAAGAGAAAAATCTACTTATAAACATTACTTTTATAATATTTAAGAACATTAACTACTAGGTTTTTTTCAAATAAGACTAAATAAATAACTATCTAACTGTAATTCCTACTATATACATTTTTAAATATATGTTTTAAATACAGATATTAAGTTTAAATAGTGAATATTAAATTAATTTTCTGTGAAATCTCTTCATAAAACCAAATATATAAATTAATATTTGATAATTAATTAATTATTATATTTATTTGTTCTTTTTAATCATTTATTATTAATTAATTAATTAATTAAATTTCATAAATTGCTATTCAATATTTTTGAGAAAAAAATAAATGATATAATAGATTAAATAATATAAAAATTTAGAAGAAGTAATTATTAATTTTTTTATTAATATTTTTTAAATTAATATTTATTAATAAAAAAAGTTTAAAAGCTCTTCACTTTTATCTCATTAGGTTATCCATATTAATCTCAAGTATATTTTATTAATTAATTTTATTTTTTTTATTATTAATATTTTTTATATATTTAAATAAATAATTTTTATTTTAGAAATTTTTATCATTATTTATTGAATTTTATTAAAACTAAAATTTTTTATATTTTAACTTAATTTAGTTTGAATTTTTAATTAATTATTTATTATTCGTTTTTTAATATTTGATATATATTCTTCATTTTTTGCTATTAAAACTTACACTTAATAAAAGCTATTTATTCTTTTTACATTATAATATTTTTAATTATAAAAGTTAATTTAAAATATTATAGTTCTTTTAATTTATTTGATTTGTTTTCCTTTTTCTTTATATTATGATTTTTAATTTTTCATTCTTTGTTAAATTTATTAATTATTAATTAATCTTATTATTTCATATTTTTTATAAATTTTTCCTCCTAATTAACTATAGTGAAATACCTATTTAATTTATATCTTAATAAATTTATATAATAAAGCTAATTTTTAGAAAGCATAACATATCTTTTTTTTGAAAAAAATGAATTTTGAAAACCTAGGATAGAAAAAAATTCATAAAAAATATTTAAAATTTTAATTTTATAAAATGTAAAAACTGGTATATAAAACTCGCTTTTTATAAATTTGTATGATATATTTTTTCTTCATTTTTTCCTTTAATTAACTATTTAATGATATATTTTTTCTTCAATATTTAAAAAGTAGCAATTAAATTGGTGGTACATACATACATACATACATACATACTCGCACATGGTGACATGCACTCGGGATAGGGGCCCTATATATAATTACTTATACATTATTATTATACGTATACCAATTTATTTATATATAATTGTGGGTAATATATTAGAAGGGAAGGGTCACCTACACCCTAATGGCATTTCTACTAATCTTCCATGATTTGACTACGCATTATGCTCGCTTCCCATTTGTATTCCAGATCTTCTGTTCAGAATGGGGCCTCCTCTTTACCACCTATCAGATTTGGCCCTTCCCTCCTACCAAGGAGACCGCTGGTAACATTCACATTTTTACATGGAATTTTTCGAAATAAAGGGGGCGGTATAGGATTCGAACCCCCGATATCACTGCTAAGACCCTCCGACTCGCCCACTCGAGTCGCTTAGCCCTTCTTTTAAATTGGTGGTGAAGGTGCATCAGGCTTAGGTTCTGCTTTAGCAAATTGCATTAATCTCTCAAATTTGACACTTGACCTTTCGTAAAAACAGTTTATTTGTTTTGGATTCTGATATTTTAAATTATAAAAACTAATTAAAAACAATAAAGCTGTTTTTTCTTTTTCTTTTTATTGTGCTTGCTTTTTTTTTGTTTTTTCTTTGTTAATTTAGCTCATCATTTTATTTTCAACTTTTGCTTTTATTATTTATTTCTTATTATTTCATATTTTTTCTTCATTTTTTCCTTTAATTAACTATTTAATGATATATTTTTTCTTCAATATTTAAAAAGTCGAAATTAAATTGGTGATGAAGGTGCATCAGGCTTAGGTTCTGCTTTAGCAAATTGCATTAATCTCTCAAATTTGACACTTGGCCTTTCGTAAAAACAGTTTATTTGTTTTGGATTGTGATATTTTAAATTATAAAAACTAATTAAAAACAATAAAGCTCTTTATTCTTTTTCTTTTTATTGTGCTTGCTTTTTTTTTGTTTTTTCTTTGTTAATTTAGCTCATCATTTTATTTTCAACTTTTGCTTTTATTATTTATTTCTTATTATTTCATATTTTTTCTTCATTTTTTCCTTTAATTAACTATTTAATGATATATTTTTTCTTCAATATTTAAAAAGTTTCAATTAAATTGGTGCAATAGGTGCATCAGGCTTAGGTTCTGCTTTAGCAAATTGCATTAATCTCTCAAATTTGACACTTGACCTTTCGTAAAAACAGTTTATTTGTTTTGGATTGTGATATTTTAAATTATAAAACTAATTAAAAACAATAAAGCTCTTTTTTCTTTTTCTTTTTATTGTGCTTGCTTTTTTTTTGTTTTTTCTTTGTTAATTTAGCTCATCATTTTATTTTCAACTTTTGCTTTTATTATTTATTTCTTATTATTTCATATTTTTTCTTCATTTTTTCCTTTAATTAACTATTTAATGATATATTTTTTCTTCAATATTTAAAAAGTAGCAATTAAATTGGTAGTGAAGGTGCATCAGGCTTAGGTTCTGCTTTAGCAAATTGCATTAATCTCTCAAATTTGACACTTGACCTTTCGTAAAAACAGTTTATTTGTTTTGGATTGTGATATTTTAAATTATAAAACTAATTAAAAACAATAAAGCTCTTTTTTCTTTTTCTTTTTATTGTGCTTGCTTTTTTTTTGTTTTTTCTTTGTTAATTTAGCTCATCATTTTATTTTCAACTTTTGCTTTTATTATTTATTTCTTATTATTTCATATTTTTTCTTCATTTTTTCCTTTAATTAACTATTTAATGATATATTTTTTCTTCAATATTTAAAAAGCGAAAATTAAATTGGTGCAATTGGTGCATCAGGCTTATGTTCTGCTTTAGCAAATTGCATTAATCTCTCAAATTTGAAACTTGACCTTTCGTAAAAACAGTTTATTTGTTTTGGATTGTGATATTTTAAATTATAAAAACTAATTAAAAACAATAAAGCTCTTTATTCTTTTTCTTTTTATTGTGCTTGCTTTTTTTTTGTTTTTTCTTTGTTAATTTAGCTCATCATTTTATTTTCAACTTTTGCTTTTATTATTTATTTCTTATTATTTCATATTTTTTCTTCAATTTTTTCCTTTAAA